ATTTTATCTTATTTATTTTTATTTTCTTGAATGTGATCATGCTTTATGATTATTAGGAGGTTGTCTGTTCATAAGAGATTGACACTAAAGCATTTAAAGGTGAAGTGCCAATGCCAGTGGCATACTTCAGTGACTCAGGAAAAGCAGAGAGTATGAATGTACACGCAAGTGCACATATAGCAAAATATTTATAACTGTGGTATCTAGATGTGAAGTATATTTGTTAATAAAAAACTGTATTTTTCTTGATGGTGATTTTTTTTTCAATAAAGGCTAGAGAGAAAGTGCAACCTCAAACAGTATTTAGTTAACTTAAATGAGAAGCCCCGACCAGTGTAAACTGAGGAAAAGAGGCCAGGCTGCTGACTCTCAGGATCACACTGCTTATGGCAAGATTACAAACACCTTGTTGCCAGTTCCAACACACAGCTCTCCTACCATGGAAAAATAACTCTTTGTAGAAGGATACAGCCTCTAAAGAGAAATCCAAACCCACAGATGCTGAGCCAATTACAACTTATAATGACTGTCACTAATTGAACTGTGTGCCCCCCAAACACATATATATATAATAATATCATGTGGAATCTATATAATGATTCTCCGATGATCTAATAAATCAAATAGTTGGAAAAGGAGTAAGGATAGAATGTAATACTCCTCAACCTCATCACAGGACTCATTAGACATAAGGAAGTTTCTCCAGGGGATGGCCTGTGATAGGAGGAACAACCTTATTACCATCAACAAAGAACTGCTAAGAGTGAAATGAGGTCTCTGTGCAACAAAGCTCTTGACACCAGGGAAAGCCTGGACACATGGGATCTCTAAAGAACTGTTTGCCTACAAGCACTAATGCAAATAAGATGTTACCTCACAACAGAGAGATACCCCTAGAACTGTCAAACTGAATTTAGACTTCTAGCCTCATAACCTGTAAGAAAATAAATATTTGTTTGTTAAAATCATCCACTTGAGTTATCTCTGTCACAACAGCATTTAATAATGAAGTGAGGATCCTCTGAGGTTATAAATCCTTATGAGATATTTATATAATCTCTCCCATCTTTTACTTAATGTAGAAGATGTAAAAGAATTCCCATCTTTCACCTTCTAAGCAGCTCATTAATTCAAACTACTGACCTTTTTGTTTGCAGGATAACACAAAATACACTGTACCATCTGAGTTTTTTTAAGAAAACCCTAGAGCCTGCAAATTCAATAATGTAGCCAGAAATAAAGAATAGCCTGCCACATATTAAACTGTGTGCCAGGTATTGGTTAGTGACCTTGCCTATTACTATTATCATGTTGTTGTTAGGTGTCATCAAGTTATACAACTCACGGCAACTCTATAAACAACAGATCTGAACCCTGGGTCCTATCCTGTCATCCTCACGATTTCCAACACACTTAAGCCTACTGCTGCAGTCACTGTGTCAATAAATACATCTTGTTGAGGGTCTTCTTCTCTTTCTCTGATCCTTCTCCACTGTTCCAATCATGACATACTTTTCCAAGAAAAAGCCTCTCCTAGCAACACGTCCAAAATAAATGAGACAAAGTTTCAACATCCGAGCCTCCAAGGAGCACTCTGGCTGCACTTTTCAAAACATGTTTGTCTGGAAGTCTATGGATATTCAGTGCTCAAATTAGAAGTAATCCATTAATTCGGAAACTAAAGTAGGAATCTTAGAAGAACACAATTTTAAATTTTCTGATGAAAATTTAACCGTTATTTCATAGAGAAAATGGACATTGAAGCTTACCACCTATACTCAATTTTAGCAACAACAACAAAAAAAAGCACAGCACAAAACATCACCTTTAGTTCTTGAAGCTTCTCTGTATTTGTGATAAAGTTTCCAATATGAGCTTGTATATGTTCACATTGCTTTAAATATTCTTGATTTCTAGCACAAGCCTTCTTTTCTGAGTCACATATTTCCTTCAGATATTTGTTTAATTTTACATATTTCAGCTTAAATCTAGAAAATCAAAAAAAGATTTTTAAAGAATGGAGTTAGACTGACAAGTTTAAGGAGAATTTTTTCTAAAACACAATTGCCCACGAGACATTCCATTTTACTCTACCCCAAATACTGAAACCTAAAGGTTACACTACACACGTACCACACACACATATACTATATATAAAAAATTGAAGTATCATTGGGCTTTCACATCGCTACTTTGAGCTATAACTGAAAAATATATAAAAGATCACATTATGACATTCTTTTTTTTGTCATGAAATAAGTAATGTTTTATTTAGTATCAATTCCCACTACTGTGAAAAACTTAAAAATAACAATATTTGACTGTTTCAAGCATTTATTATTAATTCATATATGCCTAATTTTTAAGAAGCCATTATAATTCTTAAACTAAGTTTATATGGATTTTACTCCTCAAAACTCAGTGTGATTTTAGTAACTGGATCTATCCAGCTAGATCAATAGTCCATTAGCAATCTTTTGTATGATAGAAAATTTCAAAGCAACCTGTTCACCTGGAAATATTTAAGTTGTAAAATAAAATTCATGCATATTAAAGAACCCTGAAATATATCAAAAAAGCTCTCACTTATACAATGTAAAAATTTTTGTTAAAAATTGTAAGAATATATTATCAAATTATATTATGATAATATACAAACTAACACTCTACTCAAACTTCAAAAAAATTGTAAGGGACTCTTATCCAAAAAATAAGGTCAAAAGATACCCAAAACAGCTCAGAGTTCGCACACAGCACAGGATTTCCTTCTTACAGACTCACACTACTATTTTCTTCATAAATATCTAAATCATAAGAAAGTATTTGGTTATACATTCCTGTTGTTGGCTCAATAACTTATTCACCGTACTCTAACAAACAGAAATAAGTTATAAACCTCAAAAATACTTACCTGAAAACAGAGATGGTAAGACTGTCCAAAATTAATCACAACAGCCTTTACTCCAACAATTTTCAAAACATTCATTACTGTGCTAGTAATTTTGTGACTTGACTTTGGTTGTATATTTTCCTTTCCCCCTCTGTACAAATACTTAATGTTGGCTTTACTACTGCCTAAGTGCCATCATTGAGTCACAAAACAGTAAATGGCTTAGAATTATACCACTATCTTTCAAATTCAAGTACCTGATAAAGCTGTTACACTGGGAGCACAATAGTAACCATGCTGTCTCCATTAGAACAGAGTTTCATTTCTGTCCCCAAATCAACCTTCCAAGGTTCATAAGGAACTCATCCATCCAGTTACTGAGATTTTCCGTGCTCCAAATATGACAGGAACTCACCAAACATCAACAGGAGAAACAAACAAGCACAACAAAATGTGACTAATGCTAGAAGGGAAAGAAAAGTGGCTGGCACTTACTATAGAATCTAGCATAGTGGGAAGAGTCAAAAAAGCCTTCTCAAAGGGAACAGCTTTACAGCTAAGAAGTGTTCAATAGGTAAAAGCTAACTGAAAATTGAAGAGACAAGGGAAAACATTCCAATCAAAAGAACAGCATGTTGGAAAGCCCCAGACGGAACACTTAAGAGCAAAACGGTGATATTAATAAAGAGTATGTTCTTGTTAAATGCCATCAAGTAGTTTACAATACACATCAATCCCAAAAACAATGGATTCTACCCTGCCCTATCCTGTGCCTTGAATCAGTTGTTACAGTCACTGTGTCAATATATTTCTTTGAGAGTTTCCTGCTCTTTCATTTATCCTCCACTTGTCAAGCATGATGTCCTTTTCCAAGGACTGGCTCCTCCTAAGAACATGCCCAGTGTATTTGAGATGAATTTTCAACATCCTTGAGTCTAAAGAGCATCCTGGTTGCACTTCCTCCAAAACAGATTGTTTTTATTCTGGCAGTCCATGGGATATTCAGTACTCCAACATTACAACTCAATTATACTTAAGTAATATGTTAGGGAGAATGTCAAAGCTCTCAATATGAATTGCATCTCAATATCAAGAAAACAAAAATCCTCACCACTAGACCAAAAAGCAACAACATGATAGATGGAGAAAGACTAAAACTGTCAACAACTTCATCTTACACTTCATCCACAATCTTGGTTCAAGAAGACAGGAGATCAGGAGACAGTACACTGGGAAAGTCTGCAGTCAGGGACTTCTCCAAATTACTGAGAAACAATGATGTTAATTTGAGGACTAAGTAACCTGGTCTAATCACTTGCTATGCTGCTGAAAGCTAGACAATGCATAAAAATAACAGAAAAATAATTGATGTCTTTGAGTCATAGTGCTGGATATCCCATGAACTGCCAAAAGAACAAACATATATGGTGTAGCCAGAGTGCTCTTAGAAGGCAAAGATGATAAAGCTCATCTCACACACTCTGGAGAGGAGGCTTGTTCTTGAAGAGAGTCATCATGCTTAGAAAGGATGACGAAGGAGAGGAAAACCCTCAACTAGGTCAATTGACACAGTGACTGTAGCAATGGACTCAAATGTGTCAGAGATTATGAAAATGGCACAGTATAGGACAAGATTCAGATCTGCTGTTCACAGGGTCACTATTCGTCATCATACTCAACTTGATGGCACCTACAACATCACCTTATTAAAGACAATTTAAGAATAGTTGCAGCAGTAACAGAAAACTGTTAGAAATTTAAGTAGTGCTCAGAAGAGGACATGTAACCAGAAACTACACTGCAGATATATGACAAATTTTTACTTACAGCAGAGAATACCAGAAAGATGCTTATCTGTGTTTTATTGATGATGCAAATACATTTGCTTGTGTGGATCATTACGAGTTATGGATAAAATGGCAACTAATGGTTCCAGGACATTAAAATGCATTTTTGCAGAAGCTGTACATAGACTCAAAAACAGTCATTTGAAATCAGGAAAAGTGTGTGTCAAGGTTGCCATTCTATCTGTATACTGAGCAAATAATTTGAGAAGCTGGACTATATGAAGAAGAAAGTTACCTTGGGATTGGAGAAAGATGATTCACAAAGAACCTACAATATCCAAATGATGCAACCTTGATTGCTGAAAGTGAAATGGACTTGACATATTTTTAACTAAACAAGATCAAAAACATAAGCTTTCAATATGGATTACACCTCAACATGAATTAAACAAATGTCCTCCCAACTGGACTAATAAAATTGAAATTGTCAAGGATTTAATTTGTACTACAGTGGATGGCTTTCTAATCATTATGAATATAACTCTTCACAGTATAGCTGGGTCAACAAAAATAACCTCACACCATACACAAAAACCAACTCAAGATATATCAGAGACAGCAAAGTAAATCAAAGAACATGAGGTTCATAAGAGACTAGCTAGAAACAAATCTAGAAGCCTTTATTTATGGTTTGAATAGACTTGCAAGTATAACCAAAACCTACAACCAGGAAGGGATAAAACAGATAAATGAGAACCTCTAAAAATAAAGTCACATCAAAACACTTCTCCAACAGAGTAAAATGGAAGTCCACAGACCTGGAAAAATATCTGACAATGACATACTTGATAAGTGACTCAAATCTAAAATTTATAGACTACTCCAACACATCAACAAGAAAAAGACAACCAACCAATAACAAAATGCACAGAAGATATGAATAGACATTTTATCAAAGAAGAAAGTCAGAGGAAAGTCAACAAATACATGAAGAAATGTTCAAAATCTTAACTATTTGAGAGATGACAAATCAAAACAACAATGAGATATCTATCATCTCATTCCAGCAACAATAGCAAAGTTCAACAGAACAGAAAATAAATGCTGTTGAGGTTGTGAAGAAATTGGAACTCTTATACACTGCTGGTAAGAATGAAACATGGTAAAACCACTACAGAAAGTAATCTGATGCTTCCTCAAAAAGTTGGTAATGGAAACGTCATTTGACTCAGCTATCCCACTTCTGGCAATTTACACTAAAGAAAGAAGAACTGTGGCACAAATAGATATATGCAGACTAATAGTTATTGCAGCATTATTCACCACAGCACAGAGACGGAAGCAGCTCAAGTATCCGTCAACAAATGAAAGAACACAGAAAAATTATGGTACATCCACACAATGAAAGATTATGCAATACTGAAAAACAATGCGCTTCTAAAACACTATACAACATACATGAGTATGGAAGACATTATGGTAAATGAAAAATCTTAGTCACAAGAGAACAAACACTGCATAATACTAGTTATAAAAATGATTGAGATTTGCACATTCAATTATTTACTCATAGCTAACACCTGTTTTAAGAAACACAGATGGCAACTATACAAATGGATTTTAGAAGAGACTTTGAAAATTGCATTAGAGTATCAAAAAGCCAAAACAAAGGGAAGAGATGCCAAAGTAAAAGAGATGAACCATTTCAAAGGGCAGATCAGGAAGACAAAGCAAAATATTATAATATTTGTTTCCATTCTTAAGAAAGATGATACAACATAATGCGGAAATTACCAAACAATATCATTAATAGTGCATGCAAGAAAAATATTGAATTAACACCAAAAAAACAGAACAGTAGAGTGACAGAGAACTGCCAGAAACGCAAGCTGTTTAGAAGATGCCATGCCACTAAACATATCATTGCTGGTAACAGAGATCTTGGCTGAAAGTGGCTTTATTGACTATGCAAAGGCATTTGACTGTGTGGATCCTAACAAACTATGAATAACCTTGAGAAAAATGGGAATCTCAGAACACTTAATTGTGTTCATATGAAATCTCTATCAATAAGCTGTTATTCAAGTAAAGAAAGGGAACACTGCATGGTTTAAAATTAGTAAACATGTACATCAGGGCTATCTCCTCTCTCCACATCTATTCAATATGTATGCTGAGCAAGTAACTTGAGAAGCTGGACATTATGACATTATGAAGAAGAGTATCAGGATTGGAAGATGGCTCATCAACAACCTATACAACCTGTATTATGCAGATGACACAACCTTGCTGGCTGAAAGTGCTTGCTGCAGGGGATCAAAGACTGCAACCTTCAATATGGAGTACATCTCAATAACAAGAAAACAAAAATCCTCACCATTAGGCCAAAAGGCAACAACACAATAGTTGGAGAAAAGACTGAAATGGTCAATTATTTAAAATGGTCAATTATTTCCTCTCATTTGCATGCACAATCAACACCCTTTGTACCAGGAGTCAGGAGACTTCCCAGGTATAGCTTTGGGAAAGTCTTTCTGTCAGAGATCTCTTCAAAGTCCTCTAGAGCAATGATGTCGGCCTAAAACCTAAGATACCTCATTCAGGCCATAGTCTTTCCCATCATTTGCTATGCATCTGAGAGCTGGAGAATGAATAAGGATGATAGAAGAATTACTGACGCATGTGAGCTGTGGTGTTGGAGAAAAGTGCTGAATAACCCACAGACTGCCAAAAGAACAGATATGCTTTGAAGAAAATGCAGCCAGAATGCTCCTGAGAGGCAAAGATGGTAAAGCTTCATTTCACATAGTTTGGAGATATTGTTATGAGAGGCTACTCCTTGGAAAAAATGTCATGCTAGGCAAAGTGGAGGGTCAGCAATGGACAGGAAAAATCTCAATTAGATGGACTGATGCAGTCCATCTTGAGCAATGGTTTCAAATTTGAAGGGATGATGAGGATAAAGCAGGACAGGACAGAGTTCAGATCTATTGTTCACAGGGTAATAATGAGTCCTACTCGGCTTGATGGTATTTAAGAACAACAGAGGCAGAAAACAGGAATCTCATTACTCTCAAGAGAGAACGAGAGAGTGTAGTATATTTTTTAGACCAGAGATTCCTACGCTAGATGGTGCAAGACTGATACCTAGACAAAGCAGTTCAGATGACAATAGTGGTTGGCAGAAGAGATCTGTATAGCTAAGAGTGTGCCCTGATTGAGGAACATATGTCAATTAGTTTGAGTGTTTTCTTCCTGACTTATAACCTGCTAATTGTGTAAATATTGTCTGTTAGTTATGTATGGTTGCAGTAATGAATTATCAAACCTAACAGGAGAGTGCTACAGGAAAGATAGTTGGTGTTGGAAATGGTAGAAGGTAGAGAGTGTGATGACATGTCATTGGAATCTACTTGTGCTGATGTTCTTAATGGGGATTCTTCCCACTTGTGGAACGAGGAGAAGTCAGACTCTGCCATCTCTACATTAATCAAACCAGTTTTACACAATTTTACTTAGATGTACAATTAATGCTCAAGGGTGCAGCAGTCAAGAAACAAAAGGGGCAATAGGCAAATGTCCTGCAAAAGAGCTCTTCAAAGTGTTAAAGAGCAAAGATGTCACTTTGAGGACTAAGGTACACGTAATCCTAGCCATAGTATTTTTCACCTCATTAAATATGTCAAATCTGAACAATGAATAAGGAAGACCAAAGAAAAACTAAATTATTTTAATTATGATGTTGGCAAAGAACATTAAATATACTATGAATTACCAGGAGAATGAACAAAAAGTATACCCAGAATGTTCCACGAAAGCAAGGATGGTGAGACACCATCATCTACACTTTGGACATGGTATCAGAATAGACAGTGTCTGAAGAAGGACAGCATACTTAGTAGAGGACAGCAACAAAGAGGAAGATCCTCAACAAGATGGGCTGACACAGTGATTTAAACAATGTGCTGCAACATAGCCAAGACTAAAGATGTTGCAGGACTAGATAATGTGCTGGTTTTGTACATAAGTTAGTATGAGTCAGAACTAAATAAGCACCACCTAACAACAACAAATTTTGTGATGAAAGGCAAGTTAGTTTAAAATATGTCACCACTGTAATTTCTTACCTGCATGTATCAGAGTGACTGTATTCATTAAGTTTCCTTTCCAGGTCTAATCTCTTCTTCTCACTAAACACAAAAAGAAAAATTCTGTAAATAATCATATAAGTTCCAGATGTTCAAATTTAGAACATGACCTCCTTTTAAAATCATGCCTTTGAGGCAGTGCTTCTGTGATCTCTAAGAAGCAGAAAATGCAAGCTGTGTTTGAAATTCAATGCACAAATATTTAAGTCATAGGAAAATCTAGGAAGCAAGACAACACTCATATGAAGAAAAAAAAACCCACAAGAATCTCAATGTAAAAAGGTAAATGCAGTAGCAAAAGACTAAGGAACAAGCTCACTAATTCATTACACAAATAATTTTCCTGACACCACTGACAAGCCAGGCCTGAAGACCACTGTGATGAACAAACACACCAAGACTCCTACCCTTAGCAGCTGACACTGAGGGTGGGAAGAGGGGTAATATATATAATGAACAGGAACAATTAAAAATGTGTATTTTTAACACATACATTATAAAATAATGAGACTTCTCACAAACAACAATATTTAAGTGATGAGGATTTTACTATATCTGATGGCAATGATCCCATAGAGCTACCAGGATTAGAATGGTGGCTTGCTTTGTTCTCATAAAGTCTGTGCAGAGCCAAGTAGCTACGTGAGAAAGTTAACTCTTGAGAACCAAGATGGTGGCAGTGGAGGACACAGTCTACAGGAGCTTGGAGCAGCAAGCTGCATACAAACAGGCCACCAGAGAGACCGATGTGGCACATAGAAACCAACACAGCATGACATGGACAATAGGAATTTGAGTCACAATTTTTATTCAAATAATTAGTTAGGGAGCCACAGGAGCAGCAAGCTGCAAGACCCAACAGAAGCCGCCAACTGAGCTGATGTGAGACTCATCTGCCAAGAGCAAGCAGGTGAGAGGGAAATTGAGTTTTCTTAAGTCCTTCCAACCTACCAGGAGCAAGCTGGTAAGTGGGAATTTGACTGAGTTTTCTTGAGCCCTGCTGACCTGGCAGGAGTGAGCAGGTTGGGAGGAATTTGACTGAGTTTTCTTAAGCCCCACCAACCTGTCAGTGCCAAGCAGCTACTGGATGGGAAATGGACAGCTGGAATTTGAGTAGGAACTCCACATGTGAGCACACATGGACAGCTGAAGCTGAGTGAGGTCCCTGAAAATGGCCACCCTGCTTCTGTGCCCACCCTGCCCCCATCTGGCTCCACATCCATTCCTACACATCTAGTCAATCAACTTGCCTTTACTCCAGAGCACCATTATCTGACTTAGCTACAAGAGGCTGCTCTCATAGACCCTGAACTGAACCTTCCCTTGAGTCAGAAGTTAAGAGAGAAACACAGGTGGAGTAGCTGCCTAACCTATTTCTAGAGCATTGCCTTCAGATCAAGAACCTATCTTTGCCTCAGGAATGAAAAACTCTACTATAGTAATGTCACGAAAGAAGCAGGCTATACCACACACTACACAATTGCAAAGCAAGATGTCACCCTTAAAAGGTGACACAGTATCAACGGATTTCCTGAAGCCAGAAAATCTGAGGAACTTTCTGAGACAAAATTTAAAAGAACAATGACTGAATATTTTCAATAGATGAAAGACAAATAGGAAGAACTACAGGACACTGCAAGCAAAAACTAGATGATTGTTGTTGTTGTTATTGTTATGTGCTTGCAACTCATAAAAAACTTATGTACAACATCCCTACACTCTGCTCTGTCCTGTGCTATTCACACTGTGTCCCTGATACACCCATCCTGATTACCCCGTCACTGAATCAATCCACCTCATAGAGGGTCTTCCCCTCCCACGCTATCCCTCCATCCTCCCAAGCATGGTGTCCCTCTCCAAGAACCAGTCCCTCCTTACCATATGTGCAAAATATGTTAGACGAAGCCTCAGAAGCCTTGCCTCCAAGGAGCCGTCCAGTTTAACCCTCTCCAGGATGAATCATCTGTTTGTTTTCTTAGCAGTCCATGGTACACTCAATAATCTTCTCCAGCACCACAGCTCAAAGGCATCAATTCTCCTTCTATCGTCCCTAGTCATTGTCCAACTCTTTGATGCATAACAAGTGATTGCAAAGACCATGGCCTGTATCAGATACATCTTAGTCCCCAGACAGACACCACTGCTCTTCAGTACTTTGGAGAGGTCCCTAACAACAGACTTTCCCATCTCAATATGTCTTTTAATTTTCTGGCTGCTGTTGTCAAGAGTGTTGACTGTGTAGCCAAGCATACCAGGAGGAGCTTTAAAAAAAAAATAAATAGAGAGAGAGATAAAACAAAAAAAAGGCATTTGTGCCAGTGGAAAAACAAGAAACCACAATCCAAAATATGAGGTCCAATGTTTCAGATGCTGCCACATTAAGGAGGACACATGAGCAGAGTTGAAGAGATGGAACAAGTGAAACAGAAGACAGAATTGTTACCACTGATCTGCTAGAGCAAAAAGCAGAATCAAAAAGGATGAAAAAAGAAGAAAACCTAAGAATAATGTGGGAAACCATCATGAATAATAACATGCACATCATCGGAATCCCAGAACAGGAAGAAGCAAGTAAAGGCACCAAAAAAGTAGAAGAATTACTAGAGGAAATTTTCCTAGGCCTAATGAAGAATGAGGGAATATATATTCAAGAAGCTGAGAGAAAACCATGTATAATAGACCAAAAAAGAAAAACACCAAGGCATATCATAGTTAAATTTACCATAACCAAAGATAAGGTCAGAATTTTGAAAGCAGAGAGGGAGAAGCAAAGAGCAACCTAAAAGGGAGATCAGATATGATTAAGTGTCGATTGCTCAGTAGAAACCATGCCCACCAACTCGACTACATAGATAGTTATAGGCTAAAGCACCCCTTCCCTCCAAAAAACCCACAGTGTGCACGGAACATTCTCCAGAATAGATCACATTTTAGGTCACAAGGCAAGCATCAATAAATTCAAAAACATAGAAATAATTCAAAGTATTTTCTCAGACCATAATGCTACAAAATTAGAAATTAATAACAAGAGGGTAAAGGAGAAAAAACCATACATTTGGAAGTTGAACTTCACCTGGCTTGAACATGAGTGGGTACTAGAAGAAATAAAAAACGAAATTGAAAAGTTTCTTGAAAAAAATAACAATGAAAATATCATTTACCCAAACCTCTGGGAAACAGCCAAAACAGTAATAAGAAGTCAATTTATGGCAATAAGCAAACATATTAAAAGACAGAAAAAATGACCATTGACTCTCTCTCTAACCCAAAACCTCCAACAAATTGAAAAAGAACATCAAGAAAACTTGACACCCTCTTAAACTGAAATTATAAAAACTAGAACAGAAATAAATGAAGTAGAAAACAGAAAAACAAAAGAAACCATCAACAAAACTAGGAGTTAGTTCTTTACAAATGTCAATAAAATCAACAAACCTCTAGCAAAACTAACAAAGAAAAAGACAAATAATCCAAATAAAAGATGAAATGGACAACATCACAACAGAACCAACTAAAATAAAAAGGCTAACATTGGAATATTAGGAAAAACTATACTCAAACAAATATGAAAACATAGAGCAAACGGACAAACACAAAGAAATTTAGAACCGACCTAAACTGACACCAACCGAAACTGAACACCTGAACAGAACCATTCAAAAAGAAAAAAACCTGAAAAGGTAATAAAACATCTAACAGTCAAAAAAAGTCCTGGACCAGAAGGTTTTACAAGAGAATTTTATCAAACATTTAGAGAAAACCAGTCACCAATTCTACATAACCTATTTCAGAAAATAGAAAAGATGGAATTCTCCCAGACTCCTTCTATGAAGC